AAGTAATAGTTACTGTACTCGTCGTACTCGTTCGTAGTACGTCGTAACGGTACGGTACTCGTACGACGTACACGTACGTGGAGGGGGGGGGGGGTACGGTCTGTTTCTTATCCCTCCTCCTAACCACTGTGGGATTCTGAGTGGAGGGAAGTGTTGTATTGGAAGTTATAATTTTCCTATACTGAAAATCCACTCCACTCTTTCTCCCCACACTCTTCCGGTTCTTCTGTTTTCTACCAAACTTCGGTGTGATAGATTGGTAGAGGCGCATCATTGCAGTTACATGTGTCACTTGAGTGTACTATGGTGGAGACGTGACACATGTTGATTTACATGAGATACTTTTGCCATGCATAAATAATAAATTTGCATATGGAGGCAGCAATGAACGAGAATAGCTAATCTTGTGAGTGGAAGAAAGTACATATTGAAAATACATTTTAAGTATATGAAAATTATAATTTAAAAAAAATCTTAAAGCCAGCCCTTAAAGTGGTAAGTTGTTTTCTTGTGTTATGAGAATCAGTTATAAGTTGTTTTCAATTAGCAAATACCACTAATTGTTCAACTCTAGTTTCGTTCAAAAGTATGAAAACTGGAAGATGCAGAAAATATTCTGGACAAAATACATAATATGTTTTAATCCATTAATTATCAAACTAAGATACAACCATTTCAGAACTAGTTTTATTACAGGTTACTATTACTAATAAACATTAAAGTATTTGTTAAAGCTTGGATAAAATAGCTTTTTTTCTTTATCAAAAATTTTTAATGTTCCAAAAAGGAACATCAAAATTTATGTGGTGCTTATGCACACAGTGAAAGATGGAATGAGAAAGAGTGTTTACAAAATCGAACATGTATTTTAAATATTTGATGATATTGTATAGAAATGACTTTTAAGTATGATATTTCAATGACAAAATATTATCAGTTTACCATGCTCTTCATAGTTTGATGCAATTCAAAAAGTCTAAACAAAACAGCTGAAGTATATATTTACGTGTATTGAAATAAAAATACCAACATTTGAATAACACAAAAAATTTAACCAGGATAGAAATAAAAAGAAAATAATGTTTGAAAATAGAACATTTGTAGTAAATGGATCAAATAAGTGTCTGAGCAAAAACAGGACAATTATTTAATGCCTCTTGTTCACAATAATGTTTTTCTTTAACCACTCTAGTTAACAAACACAAATGTCCATCTTGAAACAGCTTGTCATTTCCATGGTATTTGTGGAAAAGATGTTGGCTTTATATATTAAATATCTTGATAAATAACAGGTATTAATATAGAAATAATACTAATGTGGTACCCTCAGAGTGCAAAAGTACTTTATTACTATGTTTATTGTGATCAGAACTGTAATCATTATGTTTTACAACTAAGGTTCTTTTCTGGAAACTTCATGCTGCAGTTGAAAAAAAAAAAAATTTACAGCAACTGCTTCTAATAAAATTAATAACTTTTCAGGCTCGAGTCACATTCTTTGATGTTACTTCATTGGGTCGGCTGCTGAACCGGTTCTCGTCAGACCTCTATACTGTAGACGATTCTCTTCCATTTATACTCAACATTCTTCTGGCTCAGGTCTTTTCCCTGATTGGGACATTAGCCATTACATGCTTTGGTTTACCATGGATTGTGTTGCTACTGATTCCTCTTGGGGCTGTTTACTATGACATGCAGGTAGGTTCACCTTGTTTTTCTAGAGATATTTTACTGCAAAATACACATGTTTTTCTTTTTTATTTGACTGAAATACATGTGGGTTCATATTGTGTTTCAATATTTTACTGTGAAATCCAGGTAAGTTCACCTTGTGTCTTTTTGGATATTTTTCTGAAATACATATTCGTTCATCTTCTGTTTTTTTTTTGTATTTGACTGAAATACATGCAGTTTCACAGTGTGTCTTTCTGGATATTTGAATGAAATACATGTAGGTTCATTTTGTATTTTTATTTTATATTTGACTGAAATACATGTTGGTTGATTTTGTGTTTCTTGGGATATTTTACTGTGAAACACATGTAGGTTTTTCCCTGTGTATTTTGAGTCAGTTTAATATGACATACAGACAAGTTAACCTTGTATATTTTGAATCAATTTGATATGAAATACACATAATTTCATGTTGTATCTTTCTTGTAAGCCTACTTTGCATCTGTTTGATCAGTCTACTGTGACTTACAGATACTCACTTCATATTTTCAGACAAGCATTATGATAGCTCTTCAGTTTGCATCCGTTTATGCATTTTATAGAATAGGTGATCAAGGGTTTTGTTAAGAGCAATCGGTGAGCTGTATGAGAAGTAGGCAAGTTTTTCTGGACTGTGTTTTATTTCCAGAGAAGCTTTCTATTCACTTGTAGATTCTTAAATGAAACTGTTGTTTGTTATTTTATGTAGCTTTGTGTCTTTTTTTTTTCTTGTTATTGTTTTTTTATTATCATAAATTTGTTTTGTTTATATTTCAGCGATACTACCGCCACACATCTCGAGAACTCAAGAGACTTTCTAGCATCAGTTTGTCACCTATCTATGCTCATTTCTCCGAGACTCTGTCAGGCCTTACAACAATACGTGCTTATACTGCAACATTGAGGTAAAGTGTTGGTTTATGCAGTCAAGCTCACCAGTATGGCAGGTATTGGGTGAGACCAAGAAACTGAATTAAATCACAGCAAGAATTATAAACATAATAAAATCTTGAGAATTATCTGAACCTGTGCATTCCAAAGATGTTCTGTGAAATATTGTTTTCTTTGCCTGCCTCCTTTTTTTGTTGTCATAAATCCTGTGTTCTAAAAATTTTTAGGATCATAGGAATTTTTACAAACTCTCAAGAAGTCATCTCTAATAGAAAAGTTTCTTTTAGGTTTCGTGAAGAAAATCTCGAAAACTTAGACTCCAATCAACAAGCTCAGTTTTGTGCATTAAGTGCTTCCCAGTGGCTGAATTTACGATTGCAGATGATTGGGGTTGCCATAGTTACAGGAGTTGCAGTCCTTGCTATAATTGAACACACATATGCAGTAGTTGACCCAGGTGCAGTATGGGATAGCTTTTATTTCCTTATTCCAAAAAGTTTCATAATTCACGTTTAGGAAAATATATATACGTTTCCTATAATTTGTTCTCAATGGTGTCTGTGTCTTGATATAATTTTAATGAAAACATAAGTGTTTTTAATGATAAATAGGAATATTTATAAATAAGACAGGGTTATAAAGATTTTTAAAAAATTAATGCTTAAGTACAGTTGTAATTTTACTACACAGTGACTTTGTTTTATGATTTGTTATTCATAGGTCTTATTGGATTAGCACTATCCTATGCTTTGTCTGTAACATCACTTCTCAATGGAGTGGTGACAAGTTTCACTGAGACAGAGAAGGAGATGGTGAGTGTGGAAAGGGTGGTGCAGTACATAGATGGTGTTGAAAGTGAAAAGATGGAAGGCCTACATCAGGTAAACGTTTTTTATTTTAACTATATACCTGTTGAAACTTGATAGCGAATAAATTCTACACAATACCCTACTGAACCCTAATATCACACAAGATATCCCATGTAATATTAAGGTCATGAGATTTCCTAATTAACCTTATTATCATACAGAGGTAACATAGTCAGTCTTCATATTACACAGAGATAATTTCTTGGTTAGTCTTAATGTCACATAAATATTCCAGACAACTTTAGTATAATTGGACATATCACATATCGATATTCTAATTAACCTTAATAACTAATGTCTTAGTTACTTTTAATTTCACATGAAGATACCTAAGTTGATCTCAATAACACACGGGGATATCATTATTAACCTTAGGGTCAAAGATATCATAATTGACCTTCTTCTCTCTCAATGACATTTTAATTATCTTAATTACTTATCAAATATCAGAGATATCCATTATATCATTTCTAACTATAATGTTACACATGTGCTATCTTAACTTATTTTAATATCACACAGAGATATTGTAGTTTAATATCACACATAAATATCCAAAGTAATTTTATCATCACACAAATACTTTATTTGGCTTTATTTTCAGTTTGTGATATCCTTTTTAACCTTATTTTATGTAGATATCCAAGTTTATTCTATTATCACACAAATATTTTATTTGGCTTTAGTTTCAGTTTTTGATATACTTTTTAACCTTATTTTATGTAGATATCCTAGTTTATTTTATTATTACACAAGTATTTTACTTGGCTTTAGTTTCAGTTTTTGATATACTTTTTAACCTTATTTTATGTAGATATCCTAGTTTATTTTATTATTACACAAGTGTTTTACTTGGCTTTAGTTTCAGTTTGTGATATACTTTTGAACCTTATTTTATATAGATATCCTAGTTTATTTTATTATCACACAAGTATTTTACTTGGCTTCAGTTTCAGTTTGTGAACTGTGCTTATTGCTCAGTATCAAATGACAATAAAAAGAAAAGACATAAATTAACTTAAATATCAAAAGATACAACATTTGAATGCTGTTTAGGTGGTCATTACTGACCTCAGCAAGCTAGATATAGCAAGGTAGCTGTTACGTCTCTGTATGTTTGTTTGTTAATTTTTCTACGATACAAGTCTTTTCTTAAATAAAACTTGTTTATTCTTCCTCAATACAACTTTGCAATACATTTAATTTTCACAGTTACACACACTATAGTTCACAACAATTCACTCGCTTTCTACCGCGCTTGACTCAATTGTCCGTCTCTATCTCCGCCTGTCAGCAACTATAGTTCCAATCTCTGTATCTGCTATGCTCTGTTCCCGCCGCCCATAACTGCTGTCCTTGGTTCCCCACTCTCTCTCATTTTTCTGCCTCTGTCTAGCACACTTATATACGATAATACCGCCTCTTCTAGAATCTTCTAGGCTCTCAACACATGCTACCAGTGTCACTTGACTTCCGCTGTCGTAACACACTAGCGTTTATCGCGAATCTTCTAGAATACTCGTCACGTGACCCCCCGCTGTCGTAACATAGCCATTTCATACAGTCCATTATAAGGTTACCTATTAGTAAGAGGATTTAAGGAAACTCCCTCCTAGTATTCTTTCATTTAATTAAGATTCAAGTTATGTTACTTGCTGTTATTTGAAGGAGTTAAACCATTTTGATAGTAAAGTATTTTATAATATTTTTGTGAGGCTCCAAGTAGCTACATGTTTTGTTTGTTCTTAAAACCAGTTTTGTGTTTTTTCTATTAGTCAGTGTATAAACTGAAAAAAATTACTAAGATTTATTAGAATGTTGGTATGTGACTTTTACAGGTAGAAGCACATCTGTATGTTTTACTTTGTACTCATATAATGATTCAAACAAACTGAAATATTATTAAGACATCTTTTAAATTATGTTTATATTTTTTTATTATATTCAGTAGAGGGTAAATTAAAACATGTTTTTCTGTTTTAGCCTCCATTTTCTTGGCCATCTCAAGGTGTAATTACATTTTATCATGTTTGTCTACAATATCGACCTGGCCTACCTCTTGCTTTGAGTGATGTCAGCTTTGAAACAAAACCCTGCGAGCGACTGGGCATTGTTGGTAGGACGGGTTCAGGAAAATCCAGCCTCTTTCAGGTTTTGTTCCGAATCACTGATCTCACAAAAGGAGAAATCCTCATTGATGGAGTTGATGTTGCACAGATTGGACTGCAAGAGCTAAGGTTCTTGTGATTTTATTTTCTATATTGTAGTTCATATATATTTCTTTAAAGATGGAGAGGCTTGGTAAACATACACAACCCTGGCATTAAAGCCTATTCAGTTTCTTTATGCTTACACTACGACACTAAAGAAAAAAGATGGGCAATTTATTTTCATGTTTGGGGGTCTTTTCATATTAAAGTTATAAAACATTTTGAGAATACAAAAACTCCTACAAAATTAAAAGTAATTTACTGGCATACACTATTTATTGATATATTGGCGTCAGTTTTTGGATGAGTAATTTTTTTTAAATACAGAAGCTTTGTTCACCATTAGCTCTTGCTAAGATCTTAACTGATTAGGATGGACAATTACATTTCTTTATACCAAGGGCATCTTCGAGTACACTTGACTTTGTAGTGGTTCTCAAATTTGCAAGTTAACAATTGTCATTTAATGGACCCTATATGACCTTGCTGGAATATGACTCTTAATTTCAAAAAGAACTTGTAAGGGGCAATTAAGTTTAAAAACACACCTCAGCTATATCTCCAGATATATCCTTCAAAGAACATTTCTCATTTTTAATGATCAAGGATATGTACCCATATATGGTAAAATAATTACACCAGGATGTTTTGGAACTTCAAATGTAGCGGGTTTACTTTTCTTATTTAAATAATTTCCAAGTGTTTTATGTATCATATAGATAGGAAAACCATTTTTTTTTAAAACATGAATTCTCTGATGTTACTAAACTCTTTATCTTCAGCTTCGTAAGTGCAAGAGATCTTGTACGTACAGTGGAACAGTATTTAACCAAATATTCTATAAATATGTTTTTGCTCTTGAGATAGATTAGTGTAATATTTTGATTTTGCTTTAGTCTCTGAAATCACTAACATAAACTTTGTATTAAAATTACTTAATATTTTGAAAATGGATTGAAGTATTAAATATATCATTGGAAATACCTCCTCTCCATGACCTTCCTTATGTCATCCTGTATCACTGTGTCAAATTGTGCTGATTTGGTAATTTTTTTCCGAAATTAGATTGGGGGGTTCACTCTCCACCCCTCATGACATTCCTCCTGTCATCGTATATTACTATGTCAAGTTTGGTGCTGATTGATCAAGAAATGTGGAAACCTATAAGGAACAGATATGAAATGATAGATATCGACCGCCGTGTATTTTTTTCCCAGACACATACACTGTATAGTAGATATTATTCAGCTGTATTCTAGACAATCGATATAGGCCTAACTTTACAATATATATAGCACTGAACTAATTAACTAGCAGGTTTGGTAGATCACTATGTATACCAGAACAGTAATCTGCCCTGCTCTCTCTGAGCTAACTTCTCCTGTAACTCATGTACGTGTGAATTGGTAGCTATGAAGTTGTTTGAATGTACCATAAGTTTAATGATGATTTACTTTGAAAACTGTGAATATATATGAGCCTACATAGAACTTGTCCTTTTTTAATCAATGACTTTGATGTCTTACAATAGTTATTAACATTATTGCTCTTTGCTTTGTGAGAATTGGAATTATTTTCAAATTACTAGTCCAAATTGGTGATCGCAACATTGCAATAGAGTTGTTTGTAGCAGAAAGTTGTGTTTTGAAATTGGCCATTTGTAGTGCCACTGCCAGCATAATAAAAACCTATTATGATTTTATCATGCAGCTTTATTCCTGATGTATTTGAGAATATTTCACTACTCTTCAATTTTTTAGATCAAGACTTGCAATCATTCCTCAAGATCCCTTCGTGTTCAGTGGAACAGTCCGAGAAAATTTGGACCCCAGAGGGTGGTGTCAAGATACTGAACTTTGGAGAGCTTTGGAGCAGTGTCACTTACAATCCACGGTGAAACAAATGGGAGGTCTGGACATAGAAGTTGGTGAGAGAGGACAACAGTTCAGTGTAGGACAGAGACAGCTGCTGTGTCTTGTTAGAGCTCTTATATGTCAAGCCAAGGTAGGTTTTACTTGAATACACATTAATGACTGGGTTTAGATTACTTTTTAGTAAATGAACTTAAAGTGTAACGTAAAGTGTAATAATTCTTCTGGTTATGATAATAGTTAAGCAAATCAACAAATTCTATAGTTAATTATTCAGCAAACTTTTAGAGTATTTGAATATAAAATTGGATTTAACGACAAATTCTTTAGTGATTACATCATAATCTGCCACATTGCAGTAGAAAACTAGTTTCGATGAACATATTTTTCTTTGAAATCAGAACTTAATTTGTGATCTCCATCTGTTCCATTGTTCACTTGATTAAACTGTTCATCTCCCTAAAAGTTTCTACAGTTACTTATTTATTTAGCAAAACAATAAAACAACAACATTAAAGATTGATTAACAGAATTTTAACAATTTCTGTTTCCCAGATACTCTGTATTGATGAGGCAACTGCCAACGTAGATCGTGAAACAGATCGTTTGATCCAACAAACAATCCGCACGGCTTTCCGCCAAACGACTATTCTGACCATTGCCCATCGAGTAGAGACAGTTATGGACAGTGAACGAGTTTTGGTCATGCAGAATGGTAGACTTATAGAATTAGATTCTCCACAGGTGTTGCTACAAGATCCAAACTCCCAGTTTTTTAGCCTGGTGTATGGACATCAACAGTGAAGGATCTGATCAAATTAGTCTTTTGTATGAACATCATCAACAGTTATAGATCTGACCAGGTTAATTTAGTGAATGGCTACCAACAATGTTGGATCTGGTTAGGTTAACCTTGTGTATGGACATCAACAGTAATGGATCTGATTAGGTTTAACCTGGTGTACGAATATTAACAGTGATGGATCTGGTTAGGTTAGTCCAGTGTATGGACCTCAACAGTGATGGATCTGATCAAGTTAGTCTGGTGAATGGACACTAACAGTGATATATCTACCCTGATGAAGTACTTCAAACAAGCTGACACGGTTAGCGTATGTTTTAGTTCTTTTGTAAAATTCTCATTCCTTAAATTAAAAAAATGATAAATATCCAAACATTAACATGTTTTTGGAAAAGCTTGTTTTTTAACAAGTGGTGTTTTACTCAAAATAGTTTTTTATTATGCATTATATTATTTTTAATTAAGAACTGAATAATTGATTTAATTAAAGTTGAATTATGTTCCTATGCTTAAACAACTGTGAGTTTTTGTGTGAGTGACAAGAAGACCATATTAAAATATTCTGTACCCGTATGCTATTGAATAAAGTCTGAAGTGGATGAATTCCAAGCACATCTAGAAATATTTGAAGAATACAGTATTGCTACAAATATAAGTATTAAAAGGCATGTTTATGATATTTAAAAAAACAGGAGAGTGTTTTAGTAACTATGTTAGACAGTTTAAAGAAGTGACCAACAAGTCATATCTAAAACACTTACTCTTTATGAAATATGTGCTACATCAAAACTATTGTCAAGCTCTCGGAAAAAAGGATGGTTGTGAGATGTGCCTATACTTTAGATATTTTTTATTGTTTATGTTTTTAGAGTTATGTACTTGCATAAATATATTTAGATAGGTGAGAATGATTCTCTTGTCTTTATATTTCAAGTTATGTACACTTTTATAACACTTTTTCAGTGTTAAGTGAAATGCAGTTCTGTTTATTTTTATTTTAATGAGAAACATAACATTGTAGAAAACTATAAACAATAACTGGAGTTGGAAAAGGAGCTTTACACAGATTTATGACCAAAAATTGTGTCTCATGTATCAATGTTTTGACATAGATTAAAAGAACACTTAGAATAATTTAGATAAAAGATATCCTATATTTCCCCAAAAGGGGGCCAAATATTGCCTGGAGGGGTAACCTGTTTTAACCACTCGCACCAGTATATAGTAGTGTGCAGTCAGTCAGTAGATGCTATACTGACATCACATAAAGGATGCTTAACGTAGCAATTTGTATTGTCGTGATGTCAGTAAAATGTGCATGCCATGAGTCACGAGAAGAAGTATGTACACTGTAGGTTAAAACACAGTATGACATATGAACTTCAAAAGCAAGAAATATATATATTTGTTTCTCTTAATTTTGGTTTTATTTACTCTTAAAACAGAACACTTTTGGGGACTCTGTAGAAGTACACCTAGTGTATATATATATTAAAATATTAATGCATGTTTATCTAAACATTTGTCTGTGTTTGCTGGAACACCAGGTTATACGTGATTGTTTAACGTGCACTAGATTTGTCCAAGAAAGGAAGAAGACTGAGTAATGGTATCTCAATAATTCACTTCTTCTTCATTAACATAACTATTGTTGTCTGTGTCACAAAGTACAAGAAATAAGTATATTGTTGTTGCATTGTTCTTTTGTTGGGCTAGTTTTTTTAAATTATTTGGTGAAAATAACTTGAAGTCCAGCCCACATAATGATAAAAAAAATAGTTTATTTCTCACTTACCATTTCTACAAGCTGCCTTCACTTGTATACTATTGTAACTTGTAGGCCTACATTTACAAATAACATTCAAACAGAAATGCCATGTTAACTATACTGTGACTACTGAAAAAGTAAACAGCTGAATGATCAAGTAACAGAATATATGCAATAACTAACACTGATCCAAATACTTCACTAAACTGGCATGTTACCAACAGAAAACAAAACGTTTGATTCACTGCTAGCTTAACTAATGAACTGGCCTACATATTATTATAATTGATGTTTGCTTCTAGATATTTCTCAAAGTTACTATATTCTCATTATAGAACTTTCTAGGCCTACTTTTATCAACCTTTTGATCTTAACCTCATACACCCTGTAGCTAACATTTAATATTGAAACCTTAAAAATATAACTTACAACAATATACATGTTAGAGAATAAATGTGCAAAACAATTCACTGCATTAAAATATTTTATTGTACAATGTTTCAAACCAAAAATTTGTATGTCCATGTAAAAGGAAAATTTCCATTTCAAATGTGGGTGAAAATAAAGTGGCATAATTTTATTAAAGTTGAGTACGATATCTGAAACATTATTTTGAATACTATGTGTAAAAAGAGTTCACTAGTAAAGTAACATTATTGGTTAATTGGTTGTTTCTAATATATTTCTCACTTCCATGTTATACCTTTACTATATAATAAATTCTCAACATGTGGCCTGTAAAAGTGTCTGTTCTTCAGTACAAGAATGTTTGATCCATGCATCTTTATTTGGAACTAAGTTGAGTTGTTTATTTCAGTTCCTGAAAACTGTTTAAAGAACATTTCTTTCAAACTGATCAAGTCTTTTAATGACGTGTTGATAAAACCTGAGAACTGTTTGTGTGTGTGTGTGTGTTAAATGACAAATGTAACTGAACATCTGTAATTATTTTTTAGGAACTGAATGAAAGTGTGAATGTTGATTGATACTAACATTATCAGGAACTTTTTTCTTGAAATTTTCCATTGAAGGTAAGAGAAAAATAACATTAATTGATGTAATACTATTTAGCTTTAAGTATAATAAGATTTTCTGCATAGAACACTAGTTACAGTAAAATATGTGATTTTTGAGAAATAATTATCAGAACATTCAAAAAACCAACCTCTATAATCTGTTAGGCTAATTGAACTGTACCTTTTTACTTGTATATCAGGTTGTGTATTCAATAGCTTTGCTGTTTGCTTTTCATTTAATTGTTTTTGGGTTTTTTTTTCATTTTTGTTATTAATCTACCTAATCATGTATGAACTTTAAAAAGCTTTATGTAATATTATATATTTAGTTTAGAATTAGTAAAAATCTTTTATTTTTGACTATATACAAATGTTTTTATAACGTACTATTGTAGCATTTATCTTTGGATATTCTACTTGTGTCTACTACATTACTTGACTGTATTCAGCTAAACCTGACATGAAACAGTGTTAGTGATTTTAAAATAAGAACTTCAAATTCCTTGTGCAAATTGTTTTAAGAACTACAGGAATTTTAAGCTATGTACTAATGTTAATTTCTTTAAAAGTGTGTCATAACTTCTGATCATTTAGAAAATGGACTATTTTTTTAAAAATACTTGTTCCCCAAGAAAGTAAAGTATATAATGCAGAATCTTTGATTTTAATATTCCAGAAGAAATCTAGCATTATTAAAAGAGAACATTTTTATAAATCAGCCCCCTCTGCAGGGAAATGTGAAAACACAAAGATTTGGGTGAGTTTGATAACAATGTACAACTTCACATTTGAATGTTGATAACTTATGCTTTAAATTCACCTGTTTTGTGGTAAGAGTTTCTATAACGTTGAATAAAGTTATGTTCGTAGACCACTCTTTTTCAATTGAATTTTTTTCTAATTTACTTTATGAGAGACTGCTGTCTTCCAACTGTAAGATTGAAATTTAATTTACAATATAAAAATACTGTAATAAACTTTTTTTTTTATGCTTCTGGAAATAGGCGAAGCAACAAAATCCGAGGCCTCCTGATTCTATTTATGATTCAGATCGTCCAAAGGCTTAGCTGGTACTAAGAAAGTTAGAATACAAAACCTTTAAGTATCGAACTAAAGAACATAAAATAAATACAACATACTAGCAAGAACATAGTGTTTAATAAGCAATCTTGAAATGAGGCTTTTGTGAACGCGGTGTTCATATTAGGAAGACGGTGTTACGTCTCTGTTCGTTTGTTAATTTCCCGAGGAACTTCAGCGATAAAAGTTTTCTTAAATAAAACTAGTTTATTCTTTCTCAATACAACTTTGCAATACACGGAATTTCCACAGTCACTTTAACTTAAACACACGCTATAATTCACAACGATTCACGCACTATACTTACGGTCACTACCGCTAACTTGACTCGATTATCTGTCTCTATATCTGTCTATCTGCAATTATATCTCCGCTTATTTGGCGGGCTTATATACTAAAATAAAGGTCGTCTAGAAAAGATTAGAGTTGTCAGGAACAGTTATGAAACTCATGAAACAGTCAGCCTAGTAACTCCAGCGCACATGCTTCCACCGTCACGTGACTTACGCTGTCGTAACACTGCCCATTCCTTAGTATTGTTCGTCCCGAACAATAGCCACTTACATTAAACCAATAGATAATTACCATTAATTAAATGTACAGAATTTACAAACACTGGTTTCCGTCTCGTTGGCTTCTGCTTCACGTGGGGTTCATCTGCTCCATCAGGAAATGCCCTATTATCGGTAACAGTCACATCAGTGGTAGAAACTTCATAAAGGGCTGCACTGTTTCCCTTCTCAAAACCAGGTACAGTGTCTTTCTCGACAGTGGCTTTTTCAGGTGACACGTCTTCAGCAGCGTCATTTGTTCTGTTGTTCACTTCATTCTAACTAAAATGTCCTGAATCCATGATAATGCCAAATCCTGTTGGCATGCACCACCTTTGGCTTATCTCGCCGACCACATTTTATTCAGAAAGTCACGTCTGAGAGACGATCCACTACATCATATGGGCCTTCCCATGGAGAAGACATGGTCTTCCTGGGATTATACAACCACACCTTGTCTTCTGGTACAAAGCTGACTTCAGTAGATCTCTTATCATAACATATCTTCATGGAATCAGCAGACGTTTTCAAGTTTGAATGCACATGATGATGAATATCATCCATCCTTTCAGATAACACTTTCACGAACTCTGACACATTTTCAGGCAACTCTTCATAAGGTGGGCATCCTGTAATCAGATCCACTGGCATCCGAAGTTCCCGACCAAACATCAGCTGTGCTGGAGTATATCCAGTGGCTTCATGCTCTGCTGTTCTATAGGCCATCAACAGTGGAGGGAGTAAGACATCCCAGTCATCTTGACGGCTATTAAAAAACTTTGCCAATTCCTGTCCCACTGTCCAGTTGTACTTTTCTACCATCCCATCAGATTGTGGGTGTAGTGGCGTTGTCCTGGTCTTTCGTATGCCAAACAACTTGCAGCATTCTTGGAACACAGCTGATTTGAAGTCACGGCCTTGATCTGAATGCAGTTCGTATGGCATACCAAATCTGAAGAAGAAATCACTAATAGCCAAAGCTACAGTTGTAGCTTCCTGATTTGGTATTGCATATGCCTCAGGCCACTTGGTGAAATAATCCACCACCACACAAATGAACCTGTTTCCAGCATGAGTTTGGAGCAAAGAACCAGCAATTTCAATGGCAACTCTTTCCATTGGTGCGCCAACTTGATATAACTTCATTGGAGCACGTCCCTTATGCTTGGGTCCACTTTTAGCACAACATGTACTGCAGGTCTTGCACCATTCTTCCACATCTTGCCTCATACCTATCCAGTAAAATCTCTGTCGTAGGTGACTCAATGTTTTCTTAACTCCGAAATGTCCTCCTGTTAAACTACCATGGGATTGACGCAAGAATACCATCTTCAAGCTTGAACTAGTCCCATTGTGCCAAATAGTTCTTTGTCACAGGGCACTAAACACTTGCTTTTAGAAAATCAATTATTGGCTTCAAATCTTGGTCTTTCTCCTGTTCTGCTTTAATATCTATATTTGGTTCCACTTCACCATCATCAACTCCTTCAGTCACTTTCACTTCAGCTTGATGACACCTGGTTAGTTCAACCTCTCTTTTGCAGCAATGTCTGCAGTAATGTTTGCAGGGTTTTAGGCTCAGTCCATCAGCATTTCCATGAGATTTTCCTTCTCTGTATTCAATATCATAATTATACTGGTCTATCTTTCCGAACCAACGTGCCAGTTGTCCCTCTGGGTTCTTTAATGATCTTAACCAGTGTAATGCAGCATGATCTGTCTTGATGGTAAACCTAGTCCCATAGAGGTAAGGATGAAAATATGTCAGACTTTACTATAGCAAGGAGTTCCCTCCATGTTACACAGCAGTTCCTCTCTGATCGACTCAGGACCCTACTGAAGTAGGCCACCACATGTTCGTCTTCACCAACTTTCTGAGACAACACTCCTTCAATTCCGACATTACTAGCATCACAATCCAGTATATATGGCAGTGAGGGATTTGGAAGCTTTAAAAGTGGAGCTGAGGCCAATTTTTCTTTCAATGTCTTAAAAGCATGCTGGCAAGAAACTGTCTATTCG